ACAAAATCAGGGCACTCGCTGTTCTTCATTATACAAGTTCGTTGGTGGTCGATTATAATCTCGACCTCGAATGACTTTAAAAATTAATTACACCAAATAGATTTTGTTCGCAGTACTAAGTTGATGATTAATTGTGTAGTCGTATCGCTTAATAAATATTGCGCCACGATTGTTGAAAAAAAAATATAAACGTGTCGTCGAGCATGTATACACCCATAAATTTATTGACAACACACTGAACAAATCGATAACGTTGAAAAACAATTTGGTAGGTCACACTGCTGTAGTTTTTATTACAAAAATGATGTACTGCCGCGTCATCACRCGGTGATTACGATGCAGGCGAATCGAGTTTAATGCCTTAGAATATTAGTAGGTATATTTAATATTTTGTACCAATGGCTATTGGGTAAGGGGCTAGGATAGGCAATCTATATACACGATTCTCTATTGAAACATTTTAATTTATTAACATTGTGCGCAACGGTCACCATAACCACGGTATGTATAGTGATTTAATGAAATGTCTATATACTTCTAAATTATTGTAATTTTTTTTTTTTATCATCATTATTGATCACCACCATTTAATAAATAGTTTTCCTACTCGAATACTCACGTCAGCAGGAATAATCATAAATATCTATTTTTTTTCTGGCGACAAACCGTTTCAAAAACAATTTGTCACGAAGAAATAAAATTTCGTGGCAGGGCGCGTTTACGAATTCTCTCTATACGCATATAATGACTCAAGTCATGCGACACCAAAATTAAATATTATTTATCAATTATCACATCCGTGGATTATTGCGTGTATAAAAATATATATTATATATATTAAAAAGGTACAAGTACATAAACATTGTGAATATTGTGCAGGGCCAAACGCGCGTATATCATTGTAATCTGCACGTTATTCGAAATGTACCCGAACCGCACACATGCCTAACATATTATTATGTGTATCCATCAACACATTCTGGTATACTCATTTGCCAATCACAACAAACCATGCGGTAATCCACGGTGTTAGCATCGACGTATTCGTTAAACAAAACATATTATATTAGGAAAACATTTTATATGAAAGCCAAACGACTGAAGATAAGTCGAAGCCAACTAAAATTAAGCTTATAATGTACGTATATTATAAATGTAAATGTGCTTATGTATATGCGGTGTCGATATAATGTTTTAGATGATGCATGCGTATATAATAATATAATCGATTATTAGATTGGTTCGCTTCCTGTTTACTTAATACTGTGATAGACCTGAGCTTGTCAGTCGATTTCCCGAGAAATTTGAATCTAGTTGCGAACAAAACTTGTGATGGACTATTATGTCGCTTGATTTTAGCCACTAATAATAATACAATACAATGCCATTATTTAAATTATTTTTCGTTAAAGAACTCAGTGTAAGTATACCTATATAAATACTATTTATTGTTTTCCAGTTTTCCGCACATATAACTTACCCTGATTATGAAAAAATTCCTATTGAGGTATATTGATTGCCGGCAGGTTTACAGTAAAAAGAATTGCTTATTATGCTCGAACGTCGGGAATGTGTGAAAATCAACGACAAGTCATACCGACACGTAGACGCCCAAAATGCGACACACATTATATGGGTCACGAAACGCCCGAGATTTGACGATATTAAGTTAGGGCCCACGTCAAAATCGATTTTTTTAATCCCGAAAATAACTCGAAGTTATCATTAGTTTTACTATTTATTAGATAAAATGCTACGTAATGAGAATACCTAATGATTAATAGTCATTCTAATATACTCTTGCTATGAACTCGGGGCAAAATCTATTATTGAAGAGTGCCTATATAGAACAATAATGACGTTTGACAAAAGTCAAAAAAGAAACGAAAAAACTCGTAAATATTTTAATTTTTATATATTGCTGTCGGTTTCTATTATAAGTATGTATATAGAGAACACACGGGACGCCGGGACGCCGTTTCGAAATAATATCGCGAGTTGTCATGTGCAATGTCATAGCACCACTGCTTCGAGGGGTCGCAATTTTTTAAATACGTTCAGTAGACATGCATATTATAAATAGGTATGTTTGTATCTGATATTCTAACTTTATAAGTAGGCATATTATGACTTTTACTTTTCGCCTACCATTGTGCAACACTGCACGTTTCGCGCGTGCGCATATACCGTTAAACGGCCGATTTATAATAATACATAACAATATTGTAATAGGCGAACAATCGGACCAAAGACAATGAAACGGCGTACACACGTACGGTGTATAGGTCGTGTTAACATGRTTAAGTAGTCGTCAATCATTTAACGACGACAAGTGCAACGAATATATCATTACGAAAATTGGCACGAATGCGAAATATATTTTACGAATTAATGTATATAATTATATCATYATATTCGCGTGTGTACACAATAACACACCTACGAGTATCATATATTAGGTATAGACACACACATGTATATACCTTATATATGTATTTAATATTATTTGTTATTACTTGTGCACATTATTATTATACGCACATAATCATTAATCGTATTCAACGTGTGCGACAATACATATAATATGATATATCATATGATCGTATCAACGTGTATAATATTTACGACGGTCGCGGAGAACAGAGACGGTTTTTTTTTTTGATTTTTTCTGTATTTATCAACATAAATTATCTGCTATAAACTTGTGTAGTATAATATGCGTGTATAGTAGGTATGTACGTAGAATGGTATCGAAAAATCTCGCGAATTATTTTTTTTCTTCCCATTGCGCTCGTACGCGACGAATGACTTAATTTCTCGTATGTTAATTTATATATTATTTAACGCTAATGACTATACATATATATATATATATTATGTGTGTGTGTGCGCGCATATAGAATATGTAAACATAAACGATTACTGTACGACGTTTAGCGACGTTTGTAGGTATATACATATATGTAACACATTAATATGTTCTGCGTGAGAATGTGATTATTATAATACTACAATATTATAATAAAATAATAATCATATTATGATGTGTGGTTTGTTCGCTCGATTAAATCGAGTTGAATAAATCGCACATGCACAAATAACATAATATCATAATAATATACATAAAATATGATTTACATAATTATTGAGAACGACGGCGGTAATCTGCGGGCTGCCAGAGATTATAGGCAAACACAGACGGCGAATATAAACAAAACAAAAAAAAATCGCTACAACCGACAAAGAGATTTCGTACCTATATACAACTTACATCATCTCAGGACCTCAGGTACATTGGTATTATTATGTGATATATTATAGCCGTAAAGGCTCTAACCCGAAGACGACTTTTTGAACAGCCCTGCGTGGACAATGTATTATACTCGCGATTACTCGATTATTACCTCMTACATCACGTACAACAGAGTGGAAAACCGAATAGAAAACTTATACGAACGATAATTAATTTATAATAATGAAAAGACCGTTTTTGCACTCACCTGAAGACGGTCTGTCCGAGTACCGAGTGCAGTACACCCACGCCGGCCACATTTCTTTGTCGTTGGACTGTTGGTCACCGCTTCCGGTCGCGTCCGATCCCGCCGATTCCTGTTCGTTCCCCGAGTCGTCTGGTTTGTGGTGGTTATTCGGAACACCGATTGCCGACTTGCTGTTGTCACTGTCGTAGCAATTGTTGTTGTTGTTGTTGTTGTTGTTAATGACAGGCGAACATGCCGGCAACGGCTGCTGGACAGGCTTTCGCTTGTTGGCCTTGTCTGACGTGATAGAGAGCGCGGTCCGTTTGGGACCGACAGCCRTTACTTTGGGCCGGGTCGGAGCGGGACGGTGCAGCGACAGTGTAGACTGTTGCGTGTGTGGCTTGTTCTGCAGCATTGTGCTAAAGTGCAGTTTGGCGGCGGTTGGTGGTGGCGGTGAAGCGGACAACGGTCTGCCGTGGCGGTTGTRCTGCGGCAAAGGCTGGTGGTGATGGTGATGTAGGTGATCGTGGTGTTGCTGTAGTTGATGATGGAGTTTATTGCCGAATTCCGGTCGAAGTATGTTGTCGACGGAGAACGCYAATCGGAACGGGCTGGGCGAGCGGGGTGACGGCGAACGGTAACTGCTGCAGTTCTTCGTGGTTCCGGTGCCGGCGGCCGTCGGAAGACCACCACCGCAGCCGTACGACGACGACACGTCAGACGAACCAGAAGTGCTGGCCGGTCGGGAAACGTAACCGGTGGCCATCATCGGTGGCTGCTGCGAAGGTTGAGGCGGCGGTGGCGGCGGTGGCGGCTGCAAGGGCTGGTGTGCTGCAGACTGCACCACTTGTGGTGATGTCACCACCGGATTATGGTGGTGATGTGAGGTGGCAACTGTACCGTTCAACTGCAGTTGCCTAGCAAATTCGGCGTGCTGCGGCTGTAAGTGGAGCGCGATTGGTGATCGGTCGTCGCTCGTTTCGGGCGATCCACCGTCTGCCTGGTGGTGAAGGTTGTGGTGTTGCATTTCCCGAAAATATTCAGCAGCGGCTGGCACGATCGGCAGGAAGTTGAACCGGTACATCCAAGAATTGAACGGAAATAMGGGTGGCACGTGACCACCACCACCACCGGCAGCAGCAGCGGCGGCCGCAGCCATGGCCATCGTGTACTCGACAGCGGCTGCGGCCGCTGCGGTGGACGGTGGCTGTAACGATCCGTGGTCGCCGTTGTGTGCGGCGTGTTGCTGCTGTTGCTGCTGCTGGACCCATCGTGGTACGTCGGTGGTCACTTGCTGCGCCTTCTGAATGTGTGATGATAGTAGTTTTTTCCTCGCGGGTTGCTGCAGTGGCGGCGGCGAAGTGTGACGATTACACAGTGGATCGACCGCCATGGCAGTCTTGTTTTGAAGTGGTGAACATATGCTTAGCGGCTTGCTGCAGGCCAACAGTGACGATTCCTCGGCCAGGGCCTTCGGCGGCGTCAGATCGTCATCACCGTCTGCGGCCGTACCGTCACGAACCGGACGGAATGCGGATATCGTGACGTCTGGCTGCGGCTGCTGCGGTGACGTRGACGACGTCGGCGAAGAAGACGACAACGACGACGACGACACCATTTCTTTGGTCTGATCGCTGCAGTCGTCTAGACCGGGCCGCCGGTTGTTGTCCGTTGGGCCGGGGCTCGAAGCGTTGTTTGGGCTGCAACGTTCCGTCTCCAGGGCCATGACCTGTAGGCTCGGATCCGTCGCGAAATTGTAAAAGTCGAAAATCGCGGGGGCCGCGTATACAATACAATAATATTATGACGTCGTCGGCAACGCGTACGGTGGTAATAATAATAATAATAATATAATCGTTGTAAATAGCGTCTGTTTGGCGCGTGTGCGCGGCGGCGGTGGTTTCGCGGTCGGCCGCGCGTATTAACCGAAAAACGGCGGCGACGGAGGCGGTGTGCGACTCGTCTCCGCGGATCGATCTGTTGTAATCGTCGTCGTCGGAACGAGTCTACCGGCGTCACCGTGCCGTCCGGTCGCGGGCCTCCACGAC